CGTGTTTTACTGTCGCACTCCCTGACTTAATTGTCTTTCAGCAGACGTGGCAAGCTAATTATTGACGAGCCGCCTGACGTGGAGGTGGAACACACGTGAAATTAAACAACAGTTCCTTGATGGTGTGTAATTAATTCTACGTGGGGTGATTAGTTCGGGTGGTTGGTTTCAGCGATAAAGGTGTTGTAGGTTAATTGATTGGATGGTTTGTTGAGCAGGAGGGTTGTGAGTTGTTGAAATGTTTAGTAGGCAAGTTGTTTAGATGTTGAAATATTTAGTAGACAAGTTAATGAAATGTTTAGTAGGCAAGTTGTTTTGATGATGACATGTTTAGTAGGCAAGTTGACGAAATGTTCAGTAGACAAGTTGATGAAATGTTTAGTAGGCAAGTTGATGAAATGTTTAGTAGGCAAGTTGTTTAGATGATAAAATGTTTACCCTTTTCTAGAAGATTCTACTTCAATGCCTGCCTAGTGACATTGGTTAGCTGCCTGTGCAGTGTGTGACCTACCCAACCCCATCTTCGTATCCCAATTTTTCATCACTTGCAGATATTAAAACCAAGAAGCTGTCACATTAGCTTTAAAATAGTTATGGCTAGCAAACTATTAAACTTTAAATGTGTAATGAAAGTGTTAACCTTTATTGAATGATGCATACTATATTTCTACGACTTCCAACATTACACAAAGCTAAACATTTAAGATGAAATTTTGTTGTGTTGTTTTGTAATCTCATCCTATGACAGTAGTAAATTCATTATACGTGACTAAATTTACTTACTTACTTAATCCTCATCACTCCCTGTGGAGTATAGGGCAGCAACAAATCTCTGCTATTCCACTCTGTCTTGGGAGACCACTTTAATTCATTCCAGGTCTTGCCAGCAGCCTGCACTTCTTCTTCCATCACTCTTCTCTATCCAAAAAAAAAAATTACTGTAACTCTACTACACCTGCTTTTTACTTCACTGACTATACCTACTTTATCTATCCTAACATCTACGTCACTGCCATATTGATCCTCATGTCATTAAACCATGCTCATACACATAGTTTATCTAGATAAGTTTCTACTTCATCAATTCTTTAAAGAAAATAAACCGGGAGTGATCTCCCCTAAACTTTCTCGAATATTCTTATATAAAACAACAGGGGATGGTAACTGGGGATATAGTTATGATTTTTAATCCATTTTAAATACTTAAACTTTTAAAAATAGAATAGAATCTCATAAAAAAAACATGGCGCACCAAGCAAACGCCGAATAAAAACGCGTATAATAGTGCGCAATATTATTAGTACTTTAAAAATTTACATTAGTTTTTTGAGAAATCGGAAGTAGCGTAAATTACTACTTCCAGTCAACGGAAATTACTCAAAATTTAACAGAAGGTAGAGAATTAGATCTTTTACTTACATGTGAAATTTCATTTATCTATCTGAAATAGTACTCAAGTTATAGGCTTTTGAAAAATTCAAAGTAGGAAAAGTACCACTTCCGGTTATCGGAAATCGCTCAAAAGTTGATACGGATCTACGATTTTGATAAAATACTTATATATGAAATTTCATCAACCTAGCTGTAACGGTACTCAAGTTATCGTGTTTACACACGGACAGACAGACAGACACACACACACACACAGACATACGGACAAGATTGCAAAATTATGTTTTTCCGTATCAGTGAGGTGTAAAACGTCGAGATTTGTAAAAATCTCGATTTTTTTTTTTGCACGATTACAATACTTTCTCTATACTACGTATATACGAGAAAGTAAAAAAATAGATGAAAACTTGGGTTTATTTTAACTAAGCTTTTCATCAAATAACATAATAAGATCTAATTCCTTAAGATTCTTCTAATGTAAATAAACATCTATTTTCCCTAGAGCTATTCTGATCTGAGATATTATTCGGTGAAAAAAATAAATCATGATTAACTACAAATTACATCAACGCATTGAAAGAGATGTAATTCTATGATTACATTCTGCACTAATTTTCTTCCGCGTAATTACCAAACCCATTTTCTCATAGTTACTAGCGACAAAAATAACATTGATTTCAAAACAACGCAAGGGAGATCATTACGCCTGTCTCGGCTTCAGGGACCGTAATCCACGCTAACCCCGGAAAATCGAAATGATTCCTCTTTACAGGCCGAATTCGGTTTTACTGAAATTTTGCAATAAAAAGGTATTAATTATCTAGATAATTAAAATATTTTGAGTTGGAATTTTCCTTTTTATGTTTAAAAATTTAAAAATTACAACATAATTACATTTTAAAACGGAAATGTTGCAATAGTTAGCTACATTTTATTCCCCTTTATTATAGTAATCTACTTGGATTTTTATGGTTTAGTTAATTGTATCTTTCAATCTAGAAGATGGTAATGGAAATACTTGCCGTGAAGTGCTGAAACATTGCAAACATTGCTGTATTTTTTTAAAATATATATTTAACATTCTCTCTCTCTCTCTCTCTCTCTCTCTCTATCTATCTATCTATCTCTCTATTTATACTCATACGTATTTCTATCTCTTTCTCTCTAGAAATTTATCTCTGTTTCTTTGTCCCCATATCTCTTTGTCTACTCACTCTCTTTCTCTCTTCCCTCACCCCCCCCCCCCCATACACACACACCCTATCTCATTTTCTCCCTTCCGGATGTATACTTACATAACCAACTCGAACAAGGCTCTAAAACTTCGCACACGTCAACAGGAAATAGAATTCAACTTTCTGGCATCCGATTGGCCAGGAACTGTATATGTGTCTCCCCCCCCCTGCCCCCCTCCCCTCCACCAGTACGTTTTTCTTTATTCCAGCCATGCAATATACCACCTGGTACAAATATAGGGTTGGGGGGGGGGGAATTTCGTCAAATGACGACCAACGGTCTACAGAATTCATGACCAGTGTTTCTTCAAAACTTTTATTTTTTATTTTTCCGGGGGGGGGGGGGGGCTTTTGAAATTTTCGGGGGGGGGGGGGAGGGGGGGGGGGGTGCGGTCAACATTTTCGGGGGCGGACACTAATGAATGTGTATGTTTACTATATAAAATACATCTCGTTCGGGGAGGGGGGGCGGTAGACTTTCTTCGGGGGGGGGGGGGCTATAGCACCCTCCCGAAGAGATGCCTGGAAGATACTCTGTTCATGACCTGGTCTCAAGTTAACAAGAAAGTGTTTAACACCAATACACCGCCACTCAACATAAACTTCACCAAATAAATTACTAATAAAACGTGATCGTGTCTCCACCGTGTGTCAGTGACGCCAACAGCATCGTACAACCGTTTGATGCAGATTTAGCGCAGCCGCAGAGGTTGCAGAAGTGCAGGGCTAATTGTGAGTGACAGGGCGACGAGGTGTAACAGGCAGGTTACCTGTGTTTGACTGTTTGCAAACAAGACGCGTGTCCCTGCCGTGTGGCTTGTGGCGTACCTGCTGACTCGGCACAGGAGGTATTTTGACGTCATCATATGACGTCATCGTCATTTTTTTTTTTAATTCTTTAAAAAAAAATTTCTTTCATTTTTTTTAATTTTTTTTTTATTATTTACATTTTTAATTGAAAATAACAATAATTCGTTGTTAAAAACAAGGGAAAATAAATCTTATTTAGCACAATAGGATGGAGTGGTCTAGCGGTAGAGAGCCGTAAGTCTCGAGTTCGAATCCGGGTTCAAGTCAGTAGACCGTCCCTTAGTCCCCCCAACTCTGATGGGTACCTAACTCACGTTAAGGAAAGTAAAGGCGGCTGGGCATAGTGCTGACCACACTATCGCTTCATATGCCGAGGTCACAGAAACAAGTGAACTCTACTTCACTTGCCCCATAGACCGTCAGGTTTGAAAGGGAACTTTACTACTTTTACTAGCACAAATGGGACGCTGTGGTCTAGAAGTAGAGCGCTAGACTGCTTACCCCAATTATCCGAGTTCGAATCCAGGTTCAAATCAGCTGAACGTCCCTCAGTCCACCCAGCTTTGATGGGTTCATAGCTCGCGTTAGGTAAAGTAGAGGTGGCTGGTATAGTGCTGACCACACTATCCCTTCATAAGTTTAGGTCACAGAAACTGGTGAACTCCTCTTGACTTGTCCCATGGACAGTCAAGTCACGAAAGGGAACCTCACTTTATTTGCTACTTAATCGTTACACTTCAGTCAGCTATAGATTGAACATAGGATCTGTTTGGTTTGTGGGTTTTTTTTCGTTGGATTTTATTTTATTTTTTTTGGATTTGCACCACCCCCCCCCCCCCCCAAACTTTTCATTTGCACTCCCCCCCCCCCTCAAACTTTCGATTTGCACCCCCCCCCTCGAACTTTGCATTTGCACCCCCACTCAAACTTTCAATTTGGCGCCCCCCCCCCTAAGCTCGGCGCTCGGGGACATATGTTCCCCCCGCCCCCCTTCCCATGACCCCACCCCTCACCCAGATCCAGAGGCATAGCGCGGGTGGGGGGGGGGGGTCATGGGAAGGAAATCGTTAAAATTAAAGGGGGGGGGGAGAGATTCGGTCATTGATGCGTATCCAGAGGGGTACACTGTTTGGATTTGTCGAATGTGTGTAAGTTTAATACGTGTTGGGAGGGGGGGGGGGACGTTTGGAGACATCCAAGAACTTGAGTCCCTTGGGTGATCCACCTGTTTGGTGGGCATTGCCATTCTAATGCGTAGATTGATTGATTTTTTAAAATTATTTTACTTTTATTTTGAAAAAATTTTTTATTTATAAAACAAGTACACAAACATCAATATTAACATCATTTTAAACATTAACCGAAACATAGATTTTACAATTGTTCATATATCATAGCTAAAGTGTTGTTTGTTTTAACTAAATTTGCAATGCTGATTAATTGATTGATAAACTATGATTTTTTTAGCTTTATATATATAATTAAATAATGTACAATGTATTTACAATCTATTGTCAATATAATGCATGTTTTGTCAACTCTGTGCTGATGTTGGTGGCATACTGTTGAGTGATGAAAGAGCAAGATCCAGCCATTTCTGTTCTTGTTCCCGTAGACTTTCATTGCTCTGACCATTGTCTTGTTCAGGTTCTGGTCGTGCTGTTATAGGTACCTGAATATCCTCCTTGGGCAACTGGTCAGCACACCATTTCTCTTCTATCATATCCATGATTTATCCATCACGCTGATACTCACTGTCCATTTTCGTTCTAATTTGTAGTTACTGTTTCCTTTCGTTTTTCATTAATTTTTTTCTCTTTTTTCCTCTTTTTTTTTCGCCTCAGACACGTAATTTTTTTTTTTTCTCTGTGTTGGTTATCAGAGTAAGAGTTAAATAATGTTGTGCAACAGTATTAAATGCGTTTTTTTTTTAAATGCGTTGTTATAACTATTTTTTTTTTCGTTGTTATAACTATGAAAATATAACTAGATGTTTGAGGATATTCTGTAGCGTGTATTTAATGTGGATGTGCATCTTTATTTGATTAACTAAACATAAACTTTAACACATTATTTTTTTAAATACATACAAATTTAATTAATTTTTTTTTCAGAAATGTAATTATTTTACATTTTCATGAATAAGTATTTTAATAACATTATATGCATAAAAGAAACAGACTTAAATATTGTATATTTTGATTTTTAAAAAAAATCTAGTTTCCCTTGTACATTTAAAACAAAATGTATACATTGCCTCCCTTACGTTAAAATCGCAGTATAATAATTACACCAAGGGAGATAACTTATATGTATACAAATATATATTATACATATAAACATAATAGAAATCACACCATTTATCAGATAGCTTAAAATTTATGTGACTTTATCGGATATTGAATTTCGAATTTTAAATTTGATAAAGGAAGCAGTGCACTCATTTAAATTTTGAAAAACGCCAATTAGTAACATGGAAAATATATCTATTAGGGCCCATTTGCCTACACAATTAACATGAGGATTTAGCTTAACTGATAAACAGGCGGTTATGTGCCAGCTTTTTCAAACAACAATGTTCATTATAACTTCCTCATGCCAAATAATTTTTGTTATGTTGATTTGTATGCTATTTTGTGAAAGATTGGCTTATTCGTGTCTGGCCATTCAAGATTAGCTCTCATGACACCATATGGGTAAAATATGAGCTAACAAATAAAAACAATTTTTATTTGTGACTATCGTGTGATAATTCTTACGTAATGCACAAAGTCTAAATATCGTAGATTGAAGCAACAGTACTTCTAATACTGCTTACGCTGACTTGTTATTTTAAGCATTAACATAACATTAGCAGTAACCAAGATCGTAACCCTAATCCTAACCCTAATCCTAATCCTAACCATAATCATAACCCTAATCCTAACCCTTATCCTAACCCTTACCCTAACCCTGATCCTAACCTTAAAACTAACCTTAATCCTAACCCTAATCCTAACTCTAAACCTAATCCTAACCCTAATCCCAACGCTAACCGTAAACAAGACAAAGAAAATAAACTCAATACAAAAATGTATTGCTTACGTGGTTTTTATAAATAAATAAAAAAGAAAATACACACTTTCGCTCTCTTTGATCTGTCTTGAATTAACTCCCTCCCCCCCCCCCCCCCCCCCCCCCCTCACTGATTGCGCTGTGTTCCTATTTATTGCGTCTTCCTTGCCTTTATATAAACTTTGGTTCCCAGTAGTCGAGGTATGTTATTTTTACTTTGATTATTGTCTTTTACTCTGAAACCACAAGTGCGTCAGTGAATAGTAACATGAGACCGTTTGATCCTGTAATCGAAATAAAGAACGCCAAACGGTGTTTTCTACAGACTGCTTGCTTTGGGGAACAAACAAGGCTTCGCACAGGCAATCCGCGATTATCAGTCGCTGTGTCAGTCAAGTAGTTTGGACTAGGATTTTTTTTTTAAATGTGATGGTTGTCTTAGAGAAGAACTAGCTGGTGTCTGGTGTTTTCTGCCTGTTAACTAGTGAATAACCTAATCTAATTTTAACTTAACCCTTTATCTACTGAGGGTACTTATAAGTGCCACTTAAATTAAGTGATTGTATTATTCTTAAATTATGTAAATATATACAAAATGAAACGCATACACCTTAAGGCCTGACACTACAGTTTTAAGAGCATATTCAATATGTTTCAGGGTGTTTATTAAACCCGTTTGTTAATAGTTTTTAAACTATAGACACAAAATAGCATACCGTTGTCACCAGTTATTATGGGTGCGTTTCGAACTACGAAAATGTGTGAAAATTCATCCCTTTTTACAGCTCTAAATCTTTCCTCTCAAACAAGACACAATAAAATACGATTGTAAATTAATATTTCTTATACGGTTATATACATTTTTATGTTGTTGTTTTTTATAGCTAGTATGCCTTTTCTAATAGAGACTTTTACGTAAAACTATGTATACAAATAAGCAGGTGGTAATACATAAATATTTGTTAATAAATTAAACATACTTTTTTAACAATAACATGACAAATGCTAACACAATCCCTAATCTAACCTTAACTGTTAAACAATATAAACGAAGCAAAGCCCTGTAGTAACAATCAGTGCCAACGCCAGGCTATTTAGCGCCCTAGGCAAAACTTATTAAAACGCCCCCTTTAACACAAAATAATTAATGAAACATATTTATAAGAAAACAAATAATTAACAGTGACATATTCATTGATTATCAATTGCACAAACGTTTTAAGTAGTCTTCAAAATAAAATTATACTTGCTTCCTTCGGCGCAGATGTTTTTACTGATTCCTTCAATTCAGAGTTTCCACCCCCCCCCCCCCCCCCAATTAAAGAAAGTCTACCAACCCCCCCCCCCCCTCCCCCAACCGAAGAAATGGAATTTATATATACAATTTATACTTTTTAACAGTGTCCGCCATCCCCCCTCGGAAATTTTAGTCCACCCAATCCCCGCCCCAGATGCCCCCATTCTGAGAAAAAAAGTCTGGAAGAAACACTGCTTCAATTCCATCGTGGAAGCGCAATCACATTCTACTGAAATTATTGATAAGTCCACGAGTCTGCAGACCTCCCAAGGTGAGTTCCAGAACGGAACTTATCTATTTTAAGCTAGATTGTCTTTAGTTATAATTGCAAAATATCTGTATTGTGTGATTATGTAACGACTTTTTGTTTTTGAAAAAATTAAAGTTTACAATGGTATAGATTCCAGCATACTATTGTTTTATACTATTCCTTTAGGAGAGGGAGAAAATATGGAAAAGACACTTAATTAATTAGATGATCAATTTGCGATTAACACACGTTTTCGACGCATTTATTGCACTCATACTGTATGTGTACTAATATAATGAACGAGCCGACCCGCTGCGTGTCATACGCCGCTATTTAGTTGTTTTTTTTTTCTACTTTTCAGTAATTTATAATTTGTGAATTCGACAGTACCAATGCTGCCATTGAAAATATTTGCTTAAAAACACTAACCCCCCCCCCCCCCACGTGAAAGCAGCCTCCTCTTAGTTACCTCCTCTACGTTTAAAATCGTTTCAAACTCAATTATATGCCCCTAATAGCCGTCACCAAACCCGTCTCTATGATTGTAAAATGTAAACAGCGTGAACCACAGCTCACCAAACCATGTGAGGGGGTGGTAGTGATAGTGATAGAGAGGAAGAGAGGGGACTGCAAAGGTGCGCTTGCAGCTTGTTTTCTAACTGATCCCAGAAGAGAATTATATATATATAGATATTAAGTATTGCAACCTACAACGGCTACTGATAGTGATGTATTTGTTTTTCAAGTTGTTAATGTTAAAAATAAACCTACCAAACTATTTTGTTTAGAACTTCTGCTCTATATAATTTTACAATAGCAAATAATATCTTAAAGTGGTATTTACAAGTAAGTGGTCAACCTAAGGTGCGGGAATTTGAAATGAATGTAGAGTCAAGCAACGAATTATCTCCCATTTGGAAATCCAAATACCAACTATTTTTTTCAAGGGAAAAAAACTTTCAAAGCTAAATTTACCAAGTGTAATTAAGACATGCTTGAAAATCACAATTAAACTCTTTAAATTTCATTATATAATCAATATAACTATCATTTTTATTAATTATTTAACCTGTCAAAACAATATATTTTATCAAATGACTACTCTACTGTAGGTTATTTGAAAATGTAGACATAGTAGCTTTATTATAAAATACTTTTAGTCTACTTCGATGACTTGCAATTACTAATTATTACTTCAATTTTCGCCAAATCTCAGTTATAGATCCCAAAAATAAAGGGACGCCTTTAAAAAAAAACAAAAAAACAAGGGGAACTGTTTAAGATATTGTTATAAATATTGTTTAAATATTAAAAAAATAATAATTTAAAAAGCGAATTTTATGGTAAGTTATAAATTCCAGCCTATGAAATATTATTTATTAACACCTTAAGAGTGGTAATATAGATTCCTAAAAAATTAAAGTTGGGGGGGGGGGGAATGCGGACACTGGTAAAAGTATGTTTTCTCTATAAAATTCCATTTCTTTCGGGGGGGGGGGGGGGGGGGAAGGGGGGGGAAAGACCCCCCCCCCCCCCGAAGAGATGCCTGGAAGGAACTCTGGACACCACCTGGCTTAACTTCACCAAGCTCTACAAACGATACCCCCAATCAACAACAATCCCACTATACCTACAACTACACGACAACAGCCAAATAAAAATATACGACATTTTACCACTCCAAGAACTGATATCTCATACCTACGAAACAACATCAGCAACAGCCTTCCGCCTTTACTCCCAACTCTAAACGATTCATCAAAACTTACCAAACTAGTACAATACTTTGAACACCCCGTCATTTCAAAACTCTATACACCAGGACATATTTCTAATTCAAAGTGAGAGAAAACGAGACTTACAAGCCCTATTAAAAACCAAAATTGTACGTGTTTTGGAACGCCCCGTCATACGCAGGAGCGATCACTAAATCAACATTAAAATTAGATAACCGTTTGAAAAGCTCGAAATGAAAAGTACCAAATTATGTAATCGTTTTCTGTGACGCCAATTATGTGACGCCAAATTAAAATGCTAAGTAAGTGGTAAAAAGCGCCCCGACCTTTCCAAATTAGGAAGGTGGGGTTGTATTCTCACCATCGCGAATAAATATGGGCCTATATAGGCC